TACTGCTGTATGAACAAAAGTGCAATAACATTTGGTTTGCAAACACTTTAAACAAATAAGTTGCTTTTTTACAAACACGCAGTTCTTCACTTCACAAGACATTCATTGATAGACTGGAGTGGTGTGGATTATTGTGATGTTTTTAACAACTGCTTTGCAGAGGATCCATTAGTGAGCAAGTGATGTAATGCTGAATTTCTCTAAATCATGAAGAAACAAACGTATCTACATCTTGGATGGCCGGAGAGTGAGTACATTTTCAGCGAATTTTAATTTTTGGGTGAACTATTAACCTTTAACGACATAGTTCTCTATAGACATCATATCATTGTTTTCCTGACAGTGGATTACAGCAGTAATAAACATTAAGGCTTAAGCTAAATTTACTTACACAAGCACCAAATAACGTTACTCACCCGAAGGTGCCCTGGCCGATCTTTGCCAGCTTCTCATATTTAGAGAATTCATCACAGAAGGGAAACTCGACCCCATCATAGTATTTAGACATGATGGCGGTCTCTCTGTCCGACCTAAACACACACAGCAGGCATATTTGTTTTTATACACGATGAAGAGCTCTGTTTACCATCTGATGTTCTTCTACTGAGCTAATTATAATGACAAGACTCGTACAGATGCATTTTGGCAAATGTATGTTTTGAATACGACCATATTTAGTGTTTTACGAGGCTGTTTTGGTTGTGTGGGTGATTTCGTGTTCTTCATTCGGCCCGACAAAGACAAAAAACCAAACCCACACGCACAAATATCAGCTTTACACCGTCATTTAAATGACTAACTACATTTAAACAGTACAAATATGTGCTTGACATGTTATAGATAAACAAAATCGAGTTTTTAATACTTTAAACGACTGATAAGAGATAGAATATTATTAAAATATTCGTACTTATCCCCACCGCTGGCGCTTCCGGTTTTGTCGCGCTGCATCCTTGCTGTTCCTCTGCGGTCCGCAGGACGGATTCAACCGCGGAAAGAAAAAAACTCTACCGCCACCTGCCGCCCGGAAGATCCGCAGTTATTACATAAAGCTACTCTGCAGTCAAATTTTTATTGTTCTGTAGATCGAAACTATTGTTTCAAAACGTCCTTTGCCCATCAACACGATACCTAATCTATTATTAATGATTATGTACTTAAATGTTCACATATATGACGCTTATAAATTATCTGTCATTTACCAAACTGGAAATTAGAAACTGTATATGCATACAAATAAATAAAAAGTATCATCATATAATAGACACAAAATTCTTTTGATTTATTTTCCATCTGTTATGTACAGTGCTCAAAGATTTTTAATAGCACCCTATGGCACTTTAAGACAAGAGTGGTATAATATTTATTGATCAAAACCAATTTCTAGTCACATTATTGTTATATTATCCAATCTTTCATATATAACAAATTATCCCAAAGCCAAGTTACCATATTCAAAAATCCAGGTTGAATTTGAAAATAGTTTGTATCTAGACTACACACTTTCCTGTCTGTTACAGTACATAAAATGCTACAAAAAAAATTAAGTTACATTAATATTCGAAACATAAAAAGTCATATTTGACAGTCCATTTTTATACACCTCCAGTCCTCTAATGTATATACATACACAAAACATTTAACACATTTTTATTCACTATGAACGGATGTGGGCACCGCAATGTTGACATGCTCTGAACATCGTTTTGCATCCACTTATGAATGCAAACTTTCCCATGCATGTGTGAGTAATGACACATTAATATTACGTTATTAGATTGGATATATTATATTAGATATATTAGTGTTTAATATATGGCACCATTATTTCAGTGCAATAAAAAATAATAACACAAACACTGATGAACAGGCAACCTGACTTTCTATTTCATGAATGGAAAGATCCAGTTAAAAACGTCAAAATTGTAGTGTAAAACAAAGAAGCTTACACAGAAAATGAACTGAATGCACTTTAAGTACTTCAAATTAAAGTATCCCATTAAAGTAATCATAAACAGCTCAAGTAGATTCGGATTTATGTGCTTTTTATATAAACTGATGAACTGGTCCGATGCTCTTCAGGATATAGAATACATGGATTCTAGAAGAAAAGATTTCAACCATGATTTGCAGTAAATCTTCTAATACTGAACTGTTAAAGGAATAGTTCACCCAAAAATGAAAATTTGCTGACAATTTCCTCACCCTCACGTCATCCAAGTTGTAGATGAGTTTGTTTCTTCATCAGAACAGATTTGGAGAATCTTGGAGAATCATTACATCACTTGCTCAGCAATGGATCCTCTGCATTGAATGGGTGCCGTCAGAATGAAAGTCCAAACAGCTGATAAAAACATCACAATAATCCACACGCATCCACACCATTTTTATCAGCTGTTTGGACTCATTCTGACAGCACCCATTCACTGCAGAGGATCCATCGGTGAGCAAGTGATGTAATGCTACATTTCTCCAAATCTGATGAAGAAACAAACTCATCTACACCTTGGATGACCTGAGGGTGAGTACATTTTTAGCAAATCTTCATTTTTGGGTGAACTACTCCTTTGAGTACCAAAACAGAGGGTTCAGGCACTAGGTGGTGCTCTTGCTGTGTTTGGCTGTCTGTCTGACACTGCAGACACGTGCATATGTCCATTATGAGTTTAAAGAAGGGTCCAAGTGTTTTAAAGCCCCTCCCACCAGGTGTAAACTACCTGTGATGAGGACGTGTATGCTTACAGCCTCTCGGAGTGGAGCAGCTTTCGCTTTTATGCTAGGTTTAATGGGTATGACACATTTGTTTGGGTCCGACAGAGCAGAGTCTCTTCCCTGACTGATCCACTGCAGGGCGCTGAGGATGCAGGGAAACACCAGTGTGTCCGTGTGTCTTTCTGCCACCAATGGCAAACCACCGCCGATCAGAAGCTCCACCTCTGGCTTCTCCTCCTGGCCATTCAGAACACGCCAGCTCTGCTGGTTGTCCAAGCAACGTGTGAGCATGTTCTCCACAGAAACATTAAAGTTCTGTTGGTCTGAAGGATAGAGTACGTTAGCAAAATATCACTACACTTTCTACGTTGGCAAAAAAAAATATATATATACTTTGTAATGCAGCATTCTATTTAGACTTGTGCTGGTATTCGGTAATGCGATATATCACGGTAATGGATATGCACGGTATTGTTATCGTGGGCACTTCTAAATACCGTGAATAATTATATATTACAAATTATTCCGAATTTTGAATGCATTTTAAGAATACTTTTCCCATCAACTGGTCAAAATGCACAACACCACTGTATGCTGCGTGAAAGACACATGCGCACCCTGACCTAAACACTCTTGACCTAAACAAGCTGGAGGACGAGAAGCACATGGCGGAACATGTGAGAGACGCTCTGGATGAAAGCGCACTGTCACTCTCTGACAGCAGATGGCGCTAAACTGCAGAAATAATAATAATAATAATAATAATAATTCAAATAATAATAATAATTCATTTAAATGTAACTTTTACATTTTTCTGTATTGCTTTATTGCATTTAAATGTTCAGTTATTTTTGTTATAAGAAAAAGTTATACTGTATTATGACAGCACTTTTTAGAACTAAATTTCAATATCGTGATAATACCGAATACCGTGATAAAAGCATTAGCAATTAATCGCAACATGAAAATTTGATACCGGCATATCCCTAATTCTAATCAAAATAAAATCTTGTGATTTGATTTGAAAATCTTCATGCTAAAAGTTCAATTTATGTAAAAAGTGTTGTGTAGTTAGTCAGCACTCTTCACATTTTTTAAACAAAGAATTTGTTCCTGAACCACTTTAAATATCTATCATCACCTCTTATTGACTGACTAGATCTCATATCATCTTCTGCCTCTGGATCTCTTACACAGGACGGTGACTGGAAGCATCTCTTACCTGCATTACAGGTCGTTATGGCCTCCGTGATGTTCGGACAGAACACAGCAAAGTCAAAGTGACAGGGCTAAAAGAAAAAAACACTCATTAACACTAGGGCTGTGCGATATTGAAAAAAAATGCGATACCTTGTTAAAAAATGCGATATTCGATATGCGATACGATATTGCTTAAAGTGTGAAAAATCTATTTAAATTATATTTGAAAATATTTAAAAATGAAAATTATATAACCAATTTGTTTCACATTCTTTCTTGGAAAAGAAATAATCACTACAACTTCTGAAAATGACCAGCAGTGTTTTAGCAGTACATAAAAAGCAATGTCACAAATCAGAAAATGTAATTTTAACATCAATGTGAATGACAAAAAAATGAATGACACTAATTTTATATCATTGTAACTTTGCTTTCCATACACTTTAAGTACTTCTTCATATACCACAGCAAAAACTATAGTCTGAGAAAGTTCAAACATGATTAAAGGCAAGTGAACAGTCAGTAAAAAAAAGAAAGAAAAGGGGGGGAAAAAAGAACAAATACACAATTTACAAGCATAGATAAAATAAACAGTAGTATTAAGATACAGAAATGTAATAATTAAGTGTAAAATAACACTGCATAGTGTTCACTGTATGAATTAAATTTAGATTAATCTTTGTTATAGCTGTTTTGTTGTTTGTTTAACATTAGTGACATATTCAGCAGCACGTATTTATAGGCTGCTGTCCCTTTAAATCCGACTGCACGGATCCAGTATAATGATACACATCCGATTTCTTTCTCAGCTGTTTACATTCATTTAAAACATAACCGACTGCATTTACGAGAATGATCGTCGAGACGGGTACTATTGACATAATTCTGTGTGTATGTATCTGTTCAAACATAAGGAGGAGGAGATGCGAAAGACGAATCAACTCTGTGTTCGCGCGCCGTCTGAAACACGTCTCTCTGTGTGTGCGCGCGCGCTTTGCACGTGTGCGGCAGAACGGAAGATACGCCGTGTGAGATGCGGCTTGGGTGTGAGTCTGTCAGACAGCAAGACAAGACGGCAGAGTCTTCTGCAACTTATTGCACTTAACTCTTTTTAACGTCAAGCAATTCTCTGCTATATGCGTCCAACTAAAACTTTGACCTTTTGCAACGTTTTGATTTAAGTAGCCTATTATTAAAATGATTCAGATATCGCACGCCCTTGCGATATGCATATCGCGATATTTACATTTGCGATATTTCGATATATCATGCAGCCCTAATTAACACTCAATACAAATAATACAAACAAACATGAGTCTGGTTAATTTAGTGCAGATTAATATGATTAAAAAAAATGTGAACTGATAACTCACTACGAGCAGTTTGAGCATAGCGGCACAGTCTCTCTCTCCTGTAGCGTTGAATAAGAGGACCCTCACCACCCTCACCACCGAAACACAAAGAGCATTAAACAGCAACAAAAATTACCAACCGTCTGCTGATATGCACAGTTTGCACAGTTCTGCACGGCTCCACTGATTATATTCTTGAGTTTCTACTACATGCCTTTAGATTTGCATTTAAACCTTTTAGTCTTAAAGGAACAATCATAAAGATATTTTAGAAAACAGATCGTTCTGGTCCTTATTTACCTTTATGCATTTAGCAGACGCTTTTATCCAAAGCGACTATACGTTTTTATCAGTTCACAACTTCCCTGGGAATTGAACCCATGACCTGGCGTTGGTAATGCTTGGTAAACACCATGCTCTACTGTCTGAGTTCCTGGCCCTGAATACAAATAAAAGAGTAAGGCCTTCTCACCCAGCGTTTCTCTCGTGTTGTGGTGTGACTTCATTGAACCAGCGGACACAGGCCAGCATGCTGCGAGTAGTATGAGCTCCATCCAGGAAATACGTCACAGGACTGTGTTTTAGCGTCTGATTGCGCCCAGGCCACTCAGTCTCTGCAAGACCTGTGAAAACATCATATACTGTGTGTGTGAATATATATATATATATATATATATATATATAGTGGGTACGGAAAGTATTCAGACCCCCTTAAATTTTTCACTCTTTGTTATATTGCAGCCATTTGCTAAAATCATTTAAGTTAATTTTTTTTCCTCATTAATGTACACACAGCACCCCATATTGACAGAAAAACACAGAATTGTTGACATTTTTGCAGATTTATTAAAAAAGAAAAACTAAAATATCACATGGTCCTAAGTATTCACCCCCTTTGCTGTGACACTCATATATTTAACTCAGGTGCTGTCCATGTCTTCTGATCATCCTTGAGATGGTTCTACACCTTCATTTGAGTCCAACTGTGTTTGATTATACTGATTGGACCTGATTAGGAAAGCCACACACCTGTCCATATAAGACCTTACAGCTCACAGTGCATGTCAGAGCAAACGAGAATCATGAGGTCAAAGGAACTGCCTGAAGAGCTCAGAGACAGAATTGTGGCAAGGCACAGATCTGGCCAAGGTTACAAAAAAATTTCTGCTGCACTTAAGGTTCCTAAGAGCACAGTGGCCTCCATAATCCTTAAATGGAAGACGTTTGGGACAACCAGAACCCTTCCTAGAGCTGGCCATCCGGCCAAACTGAGCTATCGGGGGAGAAGAGCCTTGGTGAGAGAGATAAAGAAGAACCCAAAGATCACTGTGACTGAGCTCCAGAGATGCAGTCGGGAGATGGGAGAAAGTTGTAGAAAGTCAACCATCACTGCAGCCCTCCACCAGTCGGGGCTTTATGGCAGAGTGGCCCGACGGAAGCCTCTCCTCAGTGCAAGACACATGAAAACCCGCATGGAGTTTGCTAAAAAACACCTGAAGGACTCCAAGATGGTGAGAAATAAGATCCTCTGGTCTGATGAGACCAAGATAGAACTTTTTGGCCTTAATTCTAAGAGGTATGTGTGGAGAAAACCAGGCACTGCTCATCACCTGTCCAATACAGTCCCAACAGTGAAGCATGGTGGTGGCAGCATCATGCTGTGGGGGTGTTTTTCAGCTGCAGGGACAGGACGACTGGTTGCAATCGAGGGAAAGATGAATGCGGCCAAGTACAGGGATATCCTGGACGAAAACCTTCTCCAGAGTGCTCAGGACCTCAGACTGGGCCGAAGGTTTACCTTCCAACAAGACAATGACCCTAAGCACACAGCTAAAATAACGAAGGAATGGCTTCACAACAACTCTGTGACTGTTCTTGAATGGCCCAGCCAGAGCCCCGACTTAAACCCAATTGAGCATCTCTGGAGAGACCTAAAAATGGCTGTCCACCAACGTTTACCATCCAACCTGACAGAACTGGAGAGGATCTGCAAGGAGGAATGGCAGAGGATCCCCAAATCCAGGTGTGAAAAACTTGTTGCATCTTTCCCAAAAAGACTCATGGCTGTATTAGATCAAAAGGATGCTTCTACTAAATACTGAGCAAAGGGTCTGAATACTTAGGACCATATGATATTTCAGTTTTTCTTTTTTAATAAATCTGCAAAAATGTCAAAAATTCTGTGTTTTTCTGTCAATATGGGATGCTGTGTGTACATTAATGAGGAAAAAAAATTAACTTAAATGATTTTAGCAAATGGCTGCAATATAACAAAGAGTGAAAAATGTAAGGGGGTCTGAATACTTTCCGTACCCACTGTAAAAAAAGGTTTAAATCCTTAGGTTGAGGAGACTCTCCTGAACTGCACCTTCACTTCCATTTTTCTTTTCAGTCTCTTTATTTTGCCCT